GCTTCGCCCGTGTGATCCTTGGAAAAGTAAACCGTCTGGAGGCATAAGCTGACAAGCTTCCAATCTTGGTCAATGAAGTAGACCGTCAGGCTCAAGTTCCGAGGTTCGGCTTGACCACAGGTCAGCTGTGGTCGCAAAATATGACACTGACTTCATTTGCTCCTCCACCTTTTCCCTAACTTCACCGTAAAGTGTTGGTATAGCTGTACGGGGAAAATATTTCCGGCCAGGGAGCTCGTATCTGGGGTCGATGACGGACATCATTTTCCTGAAACCCACATTTTGTACAGTACAAAACGGCATCCTGTCCTTAGCCAAAAAGTTTGTGACAGCCTTAGTAATGTCTTTATAACGTTTAGACTGCTTGTCATGAGGCATGAATGCAGCGATCCGCGTTTGCTGCATTCTCTTTTGACACAGCTGGAGATGGGGATGTGGGTCGCGGTGATATTTCAGAGACAGGTTGGCTTAAACCTTTGATGCCTCATCTTCTGAATCTTAGAACTTTCTATCGGGTGGAACTGCTTCAGATGGTGGAACAGATTGGATGTGTTCCCGCTGCTAGTCGTCACCACTCTCCGGCACATTTTGTTGCGCACTAAAACCTGAAGTTTATCAGAGCTTAGATAGCCAAACCACTTCCATACCACTGAATTAGTCTTTCCTCTTTTATCAACTATTTCGTCTGCTTTCTCTTCACTTGTGGAAGCTCGCTCAGTCGCATTCGTATTACGGTCAGGGGTACTCATTTTATAGCTAAAACTTGCCGCGTTGGATCTTAGGCAAACAGTGCCGAGCACTGGCTGAGTGCCTGTGGTGTACGTCATCACGCACGTAGCCAATTGTGTTCTGCTCGGCTTGAATACAGTGAACTGATGCCTACGCCATGAACGTCAGTCAGTGACAAATGTTTTAATGTATGTCGAAATACCGGAACTGTGTTTAAAAATCATATCACCGCTATTGAGAAAATTTATATCGCGAATATATATTGGTATTGAATTATTATCCAGGCCTAACTTGAAGCTTTCGTAAAATTTAAAAACTGAAACGCTCAGAACTGTACACGGTACCATAACAAAGACCAACTGTATGTTATTGATACGTGAAATTCTGGAGGGAACGTCAGACGGCGTGGCGTTGAGACGTAATGCCGTTAATCCACCTATGTTCTATAACGTAACACATTTTATAGAACTCTTTGCCCCGTCAAAAACAGTGCCTGGTAGTATTTATTAGGTTGCGGTTGGGGGGAGCTTTATGTTCCTGCGTGTGTGTGTGTGTGTCTGATAAAGCAACAGTCAGATTAAAAGATTAATTACGTCTCCGTTGTAAATGGCACCCTTTAAATAAGTTTAAATATTGAAAGGTCTACTGGCACCCTGTCCAGGGTGTACCCCGCCTTGTGCCCGATGCTCCCTGGTATAGGCTCCAGGTTCCCTGCGACCCTGAGAAGGAGTAAGCGGTAGAAGATGGATGGATGGATGGATGGGTTGAAAGGTTAAATGATGGTTTAAATCCGTGAAAACATATTTAAGAGATGTTTTGTGATGTCGTTCGTGTCATGATATCGATGCTGTTTGGGTACACCCAGTCTGACCTGTTCCTACTGCAGACTAATCCGAACAACAGCCGACTCGTGTCCGTCATTCTGTGCTCGCTACATTTGTGTCTGAAACAGGGGACGTGATTATGTCTGATATACAATCCGAGTTCCAAAATAGTTAGGACGCCGTGTGTAATGTAAATCAAAACGAATGCGATGATTCGCAAATCTCACAAACCCCTGTGTTGTTCATGGTCGAACGTGGAAAACGTATCAAATGTTTAAACTGAGGAAATGTACCATTTTAAGGAAAAAAAAATAAGGTAATGTTGAATTCGATGGCTGCAACACATCTTGGGACTGGGGCAACAAAAGGCTGTATTTGTATGTGTTACTGAAAAGAAACCGCTGGAGAAACATTTTACAACTAATTAGGTTAACTAGCAACAGATCAGTAACATGAGTGGGTATAAAAAAAATATCTTGGAGAGGCTGGGTCTAATGGCAATCTTTTTTTAAATTATTTTTTATTATTATTATTTATTTATTATTTTTTTAAAGCCCCACTTTAGATTGCTACCCTGGGTGACACATTTCAGCATTTGTCAAGTCAAACATATTAATTCACCTGGAAGCTTTTCAGAAGCATTTTTAGCCGTATACACAGCTGATAACCAGTGTACGTGTATGTAACCATCTGTCTGTGCTCTGTGACACGTGTAATACATGAGCCCACGTGCCCTGACTCTATGTAATGCCATAAAGATGCACCGAAGTCCCACACTTCCACTTACTATACGCTGTGAACTTTATTATTTAAAAAAAAAAAAAGAGGGCCCAAATTATGTCGAATCAAATTGATGACTCATAGAAATGTTCTCTGTCTGTTGAGCTAGTTAAACAAAAGCACGGGTGGAGGAATGGTAAATCTATTGTCTTGCCTACCAGGCAGGTGAAAGCTCAAGTGTGCTGCCCAGGCCCATGTTTTCATTACCCAGAGTCCAACTGACTAGGCTGGAAAGTGATAGCTAATGTAATAGATGCGTGTGTTCGTATAGACAAGTGAGTTTATGGTTATTTATAGAATGTATAAAATCATGCCGATGCAGGTCAAGAGCTTCCGTTAATGTTCACGTCAACCATCAGAATGGCAGAAATTGTGATCTCCGAGATGACTCTGATCGTGGCATGGTCATTGGTTTGGTTTGAGTATTTCAGAAACTGCAGACCACCTGAGGTCATGTTCTTCCCCATTCTGACGTTTGATGTAAACGTTAACCGAAGCTCTTGACCTGTATCTGCATGATTTTTATGCATTGTACTGCTTCCACGTGATTGGCTGATTTGAGTAATTGCAAGAATCAGCAGGTGTTCCTGTTAAAGTGGCCAGTGAGTTTACACGTGGAAAGTCAAAGTACGGTCTTTTTCTGGTTGTTAAACCTACATGAACTATGAATTTAAAAATAACTAATCGTCCCCGTGCGAAATCTGCTCCCGGTTTACTGGACCGTCCGCCTGAAAAGCTCCTGGAGATGCACTCTAATTGGTCTGTTCTTTGTCAGAAAGCTTTAATGCAGATTACAGCTCATAAGAAAGGTATAGCTAATGACATTTTGTTCTTCGTTACTTTCTCTTTAGGTGGTTCTGCGCTGCTGTCGTGATCTTGTGACATTCAAGTTCCCTAAGCAGTCTCTTTAGAAGACGTGACTAATGATTAGTTTAAAGCGGCTTTAAACGGTCTGTCTAGAAGACTACCGGGCCATGCAGATGTCAGAACTGGAAACTGGAGAAAAACACTTTGACGTTATGAATTTTTACGGACAATTAATTTTCAGCCATCACTGACAAGCGATGAAGCATTGAACGTTTTCAGTGAAGGTTAATGAAGGTGAAGGTAACGGCCGACGCTTAGCAGTGCCTACTCAGCGTGGCTCAAGGTCCCGTTCCAGAACCTTCACACTAACTGTCCCTCAACGGTGGAATGAACTTCCAACCTCAATCCGGACCACAGAATCTGTCACAGTCTTCAAAAAACAAAGCTTAAGACCCACCTCTTCCATGAACACGTAACTAACCTGTAAAACCCCAACCCCACATTATCATAAATATAAACCCTACTCTGGCTCTTACACCTCTACTCTGTGCACTTTGCTTCTCTGGACCTCAATTATAAATATTGTACAGTAGCACTACTCGTATTGTTCTCCGCTTCATCTATCGCGTTGCTTGTATTTCCTCATTTGTAAGTCGCTTTGGATGAAAGCGTCTGCTAAATGAATAAATGTAAGTAAATGTAAGGTTAATATTGTTTTTTTTTTTGTTCTAGAATGGAGAACTGTGCAATATTTCCTAATTAATCAGGACTAACGTTCACTAAAGTTCAGCTGTAGCCTATTCATTTAGTCAGTGAGGATATGTACTGCTTTGTGGAATGGTATTGGAGCGGGTACAATGGAACCAGCTGTCTCCGAGTCGTCGTTGCTATAGTGTGTGTGTGTGTGTGTGTGTGTGTGTGTGTGTTTAGCTATTTTGTTAATTAAATCCTGCGAGTGTTGAACCCACCAGCAACCAGAAGATCCGCTGCTAACCCACTACTATATATTTAATAACGTTTCCACAAGCAGCCTGTTCCCTGATGGTTTCCTCTCACGAGGCCTGGAGATTAAGACCTTAATGTTAAGGTGTTATTAAGATGATTGTAAATAATATGATTTATAAATATATATCCTGTCTTCACAATTTCTTTACAGTGATGAAAATATCTTCTTTATATATAGGTGAGGTCTTAGGCTTTGTTCAAATAATATTCTACAAAGAAGTATCCCCCCCCCATCCTCCTCTTTTTTTTTTTTTTTTTTTTTTCCAGCCCAGATATCTCGTAAGCTGACCTTCCTTTATCTTGCAAACGATGTCATCCAGAACAGCAAAAGAAAAGGGCCAGAGTTCACCCAGGACTTTGCCCCAGTTATTGTCGACGCCTTTAAACATGTCTCCAGGTGAGCACTCGCGGTTTACTCCCGCTTACTTCCCTTGTGCAACAGAATGTCTTTTTTTTTTTTTTTGCATTCCATTTTAGTCTCCACCACTGAGTCACTGATCCTACCTACTTCTACCTTCTGTGTAGTGAAGGAGAGGAGGGCTGTAAGAAGCAGCTGGAACGGGTTTTGTCTATCTGGCAGGAGAGAGCCGTGTATGAGAGTGACCTCCTGGACAAACTCTCGGTAGTGCTACGTGAGTACCTCTCAAACTTGTGCAGTCTGCCATTGTTCCTGTTGCACATGCACTGATCATAACGCGCGGCTTATTTTTTGATTACTCGTATTAAAGTGTATTATAGGGTAACTTCTACGGATCGAAAAAGTACGAGAGTGATGAACGACCTGCCGAGGGCTGCTGCACGTTTAAGGGCTTGATGTAAAATACACAAAACAACTTGAATATAATTGCAGTTGAGCGTACAGTGGTTTAGTGGTTAGCATGTTTGCCTCACGCCGCCAGGATCGGGGGTTCGATTCCCAGCACTGCCCTGTATGTGCAGAGTTTGCATGTTCTCCTCGTGCTGTGGGGGTTTCCTATGGGTTCTCCGGTTTCCTCCCCCAGTCCGAAGACATGGTAGGCTGATCGGCATGTCTAAAGTGTCTGTAGACTATGAATGGATGTGCAGTGGATTGGCACCCTGTCCAGGATGTACCCAGGCTTGTTCCCCATGCTCCCTGGGATAGGCTCCAGGCAAGCGATATAGAAAATAGGTGGATGGACAATTTGCTGTATTTCTTGTCCGTCTATTCTCTGTGTGCCAGTCTAATCCAGTGAGGTTATATCACTACTTTGCCTGACTTTAGCTCAGACAAACAAATGTGTTCTGTCTGAACACTGAAAACAGCAGGGATTAAATGGGGATAATGCTTATTAATCTACACATTGCTGGTAGTTAAATACTCCTTATTTAAAGGTGCAGTACTGAAGGACCAGGTGAAAAAGTGTGAATGCCTCAGTTGCCTGTACACATTTACTTCTGAGGCATTTCTCTGGGAGGCTGCGTTTGTGTTACCTTGCATTGAGGATAAGTCTTTGTGGAAGAACCACCTATCTGGACTGGAGTGTAAAGTTTGGGAGAAAAATGCGGTTCTATTGGATGTACTGTGAAATATGTTTTAGCTCAGCCCATACAGGATTTTGCTCCGCCGTTTTCAAAATGTGTGATGCAACTTGCGGAGGTAGCTTTTTTTTTTTTTTTATTCTTTATTTATTTTTTGCAGACAACCACTTAAATTGGCCAAATCGCAATCGCACGAAATCGTTTGTCTTTCGCAGTGATGTTTGTTGGTAAACGAGACCTTTTTAGCTGTACTCCTGTTCGGGACACGTGAATCGAAGAGGGCTTCGGGCTGAATGCGTGTGGTGATGACGTCACGTGACGCAGCGTCGCCCATATCTGCTGTAATTTTGAACAATTGCGAGCTCCTTCAAAGATTGCGGAGTTCGCTCGATTTTTGCGTTAATTTCTGCGATCGCAAAATCCCCGAATCCTGGAGGGACTGTCGGCTTCAGACGTGAATACAGTTTGGCTGTGATTCCATTAGCTAAAACTCTGCCGGGATGTCCGTTACAGGTAGTTTATTTGCATGTTGCAATTTTACAGAAATGTAACTCTGTATAGAAATTGCTTGGCTTGCTCAGCTAATCACTGCGTGTCCATTATCTCGTCTCTTTTTCTGTATGTTTCTAAGTGCGTCTCGTGTCTGCGTGTTCCTACACTGTGGTTAGAAAGTAGTTTTTCAGTTGAGCTACAATTTGGTATACTGTGATGGATACTGAAGCATCTCACCTCATATATGGACAACGATCACTACCATGAAAACAATCACAAGTGGGTTTTCTCTCTCTCTCTCTCTCTCTCTCGCTCTCAAACCACAACTTCTAGATGGAGACAAGAAGGCCAAGAAGCGACCTTATGAGGAGATTAAAGTGAAAGATGATGACTTTGCCTCCCAGAGCTCTCCAGCAAATCCACCACAGGTACTACGTGGAAAAATATATCTTCTGGTACATCTGTAGCCTAACATTGCACAAGAGATGATGTCTGTGCGTCCCATTTATTCTGACTCGTAAACATCCGGTCTGTTTCAGACCGCGGATTTGATCCGAGCACTACAGGAGTTGGAGAATGCAGCGTCAAGTGACTCCGCCCTACGACAGAGGATCTCTGCTTTACCCCCAGAGGTGCAGGACTCGTCCCTGCTGCACAGAATCACAGGTGTGTGTGTGTGTGTGTGAGAGAGAGAGCTGAAGTTAACACATTTTCAGAGGTGCCAGCATCTACAGTTTAGCCGTAGGTTTTAAGGGTTTTGACTCTTTGTTACTGCGATGTGGGAGACGCCTGAAAACTTTGCTGTTCTGCTTTTTCACCTTTTGGTCAGACCAAAAACAAACAACAAAAGAAAACAAGTGGGTGGGACTTGGGTCTCTTTTGCCCATTAAATTAGTGGCCATCATGAACTTTTTCCCCACAGTAATATTTCTGCTACTTGGTGCACAACTGGAAATAACGTGAACAAAAAATTAACCCTTCGTTGTCTTAATTTTCTTTTGTGTTGTTAGCAATGTTAACACCCCTGGATTTCGTAGATCTTGACCCCTGTCTTGTGTGACATGTCCTTATTTCTGTGCACACCCTGTTCTATATTCTATATAGGGAAGAGGGCTACATTTTGCCTGATTACACCTAATAGGATGGCTCAGCCCAGTCTGTGTGTTTTCCTCAGATAAGGAGTCAGGAGAACGCTTATCCAGACTGGTAGAGGAGACCTGCATGCTGTTGGCAGATTACAGTGGACGCCTGGCGGCCGAGATCGATGACCGACGGCAGCTCACGCGGTTGCTTACACTTTTTCTGCAGAGCCAGCGGGATGGCCTGGCCAAGAATGAACAGAAACTAGAAGTGCGTAAACTCCCCATTTCTCTTTCCCTGCTTTCCCATAATGTTAGACATTCACATCTTAGCAACCTCACGCTATTTTTTTACTTGTGAATTCTTTTTCCATAACGTTGGCTTTTTCTTGTCCACTAGAGGGCAGCACTAACTCATGCATGAACATGCAGAAAACTTTCAACTAGGGCTATTTCGCTCAACCCTAGTTTGAAGGGTTTTTTTTCAACTTTGATTGATGAACGATTCTCAATTACATTTTTTTTTTGTTCTTACATAATGCAATTGAAAAATTACGCAATTTAATCCTAATTTTTATGATTTTTTATTTTTATTATTGGACTTTGGGGAAAATTTAGAAGTGCAAAAACAGCAAATCGTGCAAACAGTGGTTCTTTTCAATAAAGGAGTTTTTAAAAATCATTTGCCCTGTTTGCTATAGATGGCACTGTTACTATTTTTGCACAACTTAGTGAACCCTTATTTCTCGACAGAGTAAATGGGGCTCATGTCTTTTGTGACATGAAATGCAACCGCAACAGAGAAGTCAACTTGGGGTATTCTTCCCAAATCCGAGTTCCTTCCCCGTTTATGGAGTGACATCAAATCAACATGGTTGCCCGCAGCATCAGAAACAAACAAAGTAAAACCTTGAAATGAGTTATACTCTATATACAAGTGTTCGTTATATGTCTGTATGTTGACTATTCAACATGCAGACATCTTCGTTTGCTAAATCGAAAATGCCAATTACACAGTGCGCTGTTTGAGAGACTAGCGATTGATTTCATAATCAATTCATCTGCTGATTATTTTGTTGATTAATCAGGCAGAGGGGGGACAAACTTACATTATAATTTTTTCATTTATACCAAATAAAATCCACAAAAAGTTACAAACAAAAACTTCACATTAAACATTGACTGCGTCGGTGTGTCGTTGCCCCCCCAAAAAAAAATATATATATATAATGTAATATTATACATTGGTAGACATTTCATAATTGAATCGATTATTGTTGATTTTATCGATTAGTTGTTGCAGCTCTAGCGTGCAGTGTGTGACCAGCGCTGGCTGTTTTATCATTTATCAGGTTAAGAAAGTGGTGTTTTTCCTTCGTATTGGTTTAAATTTTTAAATGGCAAAAAAATAAAAAAAAAAGTAAAGATGGCTAGTGATAGGCAGGAATGTAAATGTTAAAATTTTTGTGAACATGAACATTTAGATGAACGTGGCCAGTTAACTCACCAGCACTGTTATAATCTGTTGTCATTTTATTTATTTTTTTGCCTTTGTTTATTTATTCATTTTCATATGATTCATTTACATGTGATTAATTTACATATGATTCATTTTCATGTGATTCATATTCATGCATGTGACTCATTTACATATGATTTTTTTTTTCTTCTCAATGAAATATTTGGGAAAGGGAAGGGAGGGGAGAAAAGGTAAATGAATCACATGAATATGAATTACATGTAAATGAATCACATGCAGGAATATGAATCGCATGAAAATGAAACATATGTAAATGAGTCACATGTTGAGGCATTTTTAAGTCCTCATTTTGTCCAAGTTTGTTAATCAAATTATGTGTAAATGTAGCTAGATTTTTGTTGGCTTAGAGATTTGGTTAGCTAGCTACGTACATCCGTGGTGAAATCTGATCTCGTGAACACAAATTCAGTGCAATATACACGAAGACTGCTAGTTAAGTGAGTAAATTGAAATCTGCTAAACGAACAGTAATCTGTAATTATGGTTAATTCGCTGCCCGTTAGCCCAGTGAGTATTCTGGTCTCGGTGCTCCCCTGCGGCACGGGCATGGGCTGGTTGTGCTGGTGTGAGTTCAGTTTGGTTATTTTCTGTGCGTGCTGTGAGATTTGATTGAAACAGTTCCAGCACCTTCCAAAGTCTAACCTCTGGTGGTAAGTATGATTTCAAATAAAGACTAATGAGCTGTATTAATGTGTGATTAACTCTCCAACATTTGCCCTCAGGTTTCAGCAGGACTCGGCGTGTTCCGTCTTCATACTTCATGCAAAAGAGATGAAAATAAATACACAGTTTTGGAGTGTGCTATTTATTTATGCGTTTAATTTCGGAGATGGGTTTAACATCTACATGCTCATGAAGTTAATATTAAAATATTGCTTGATTATAGTTTAGTTTATTAAACATGTATGTTCGTTTGCATTTTTCATGACTTCAGTAAAAGTTCAACTTTTCATAAGCCGTGTGAGGATATTACATATTGTTTGGATTCACGTTGAGAGTTTAAAGTTGGTTGAGTAGTACACTGATCAAAATATAGACTAAAACACAGCAATGACGTGCAGCACAAAGCGTCGATTTGCCTTTTTTAGGTTTGTGTTTTAATCTAGCAGCATCAGAACTTTCATATGATGATTGTTTAACTGAATTTCTGACGTGTTTTATGGATTTTTATTGTAAACAGGCAACATTCCACCGCTGAAATTAAATTGGATATTAATTCATTTTTAAAAAGTGTGAAAAGAGTTTAGAAATACTGAAATGTACAAATAAAACACCTTACAAATAATAGACGAAGCTGCTTGACAAACTTTATTAATAAACTACT